CCGTGCGCGCCACTGGGGCCGTGCGCCAGCGGGCGGAGCGCGTGGGGTGCACCACGGCCAGGTAGCGGTCCACGCTCATGACTGTGAGGCAGAAGATGCTGGTGAACTGGTTGATGCCGTCCACAGCCATCACCAGGCGACACATGAGAGAGCCGAAGGGCCAGTAGGACAGCGCATTCTGGGCGGCCAGGAAGGGCAGCCCCAGCATGAAGAGCTCGTCGGCCAGCGCCAGGTTGAGGATGTACACGCTGGTGACCGACGGGCTGGCTGTGTGCCGCAGGACCACGTAGATGACCAGCGAGTTGCCCAGCAGGCCCACCACACATACTACCAGGTAGACCAGCGGGATCAGGATGCCGCTGATGGCCAGCCCTGCTGGGCCCAGGCCCGCAGACCCGTTTCCCAGGGTGGTGTCCAGGGGCCAGGCTGAGGAGGCATTCCCAGGGTCTGAGGTCGTGAGTGCCGATGAGGGATAGCCAGGGGTGTCCATGGCCCGGGGCAGCGGGTCAGTAGTCAGCTACTGGCCTGGAGGAGGGAGGACACAGCTGAGTCACCATAGAGGATGGGAGTCTCAGCCCCTCTCCTGTGGCACTGAACTTGGAGGATGACTGCACACCAGTTTATCGTGCTACATGGCCTGGCACGATTAGGTGGATCTGCCCCATTTATCAGATAAGAAACTGAGTCTCAAGGAAGTGAGGTGACCCCCCTCTAAGATCACGTTACTAGGGTGTGGTGCAGGACAGGAAGCTCTGCTGTTTCGTAAGGTAATTCAGGCCCTTTCCAGGAACAGCACCCAACTGGCAGGGCCCCTGGGAGTGGACTGCACCGCTCCTCACGACCTCATCCCTCACAAGCCTCAGTCCTCCAGATGAACTGAGCCCCCAAATTCCAGATGAAAATGTGCCTGCGAGCTCGCCATGGGGGCATATGCCCCAAATCCCAGCCCTCTTGGAGGCTGAGGCAGGACTGCAAGTTGGAGCTCAGCCTGGGAAAATGAGTGACTGAATGAGATTTTGTCTTAAAATTTTAAAAAAATGAAAAGGACTGGGGCTGTAGCTCAGAGCAAAGGCCCTAGGATTAATCCCTAGTACTGCCAAAACGAAACAGAACCAAACACGCCTGTGTCTTTTCTGGCAGATCCCAGCGCTTTCACCAGACTCCTCATTCCAAACGGAGTGGAGGACCCGCAGGTTCAGGGACGAAGAGCTCTCAGAAACTCCCTCTGCCCAGCTATACCACCGGCCCCCGCCTGAGGCCATGCCAGGGAGGCAGCTGTGCCAAGGGGAGGCTGCAGAGGCCCCTGCTCCCCCACAGGCCAAAGTCTGTGAACACATGGTTGGTGCTGTCTCAGGACATCCACGTCCCCGGGCTGCAGCCATGAGGAACAGGCGTCCCAGGGGCCAGGAGCGTCCCCACCAGCACCCACCCTTGCCCTCGGCCGGGCCCTCTCTATCACCGCTGCTGTGTGTCCAAGCCAGGGCACATCCTGGGTCTCCTGTTGGACTTTGTGCCCCTTGAGCGTGCAGGTGTACCCGGTCCTGGACGCTCTTTCCCAGTCTCTTTCCTCACACTTAGCCAAGCATAGCTCTACCACATTGAGCACAGGACAGTGAATGAGTCAGAGGGGCAGGAGCGGATGGCCCTCAGAGCGGAGGGGCGGTGGCGGATGGCACTGAGGCCTGGTGGGACTCTCCAGCCTTTCGGCAGGACTTCTGGCTCCTGGAGGCCAGGCTGGGAGTCCTCTATCTCTTAATGACCTGTCATCCCAGTCCCCTGGCCCGTGGATGCCTCTGATTTTCCCATCAGAAACTGATGGGGACACAGATTAGCTTTCACCTGGAACTTGGGGACTCGGGTATCTTCTGGGGTTCAGAGAAAGGGAAGACAGAGAGGCCCTTCCTCTCGTGGCCTGAAATTCACCCCAAGAACCTACAGTAGGTGCCGCCCCATGCAGGCGAACCTCTGCAGGGCAAAGCCCAGCACAGGAAGGCAGCCAGCTCCCAGCAGATGCCTCGGACTCAGTGCCAACTGGGTGATGCTGAAGATGGCAGAGGACCCTGAGCCATGGCTCCTATGGCTGAGTTCGGAGCATCCTCCGCACCCCAGCTGGAAGACAGCCGGGATTCCGAGTCTGGGGAAGCCCGAACTCCACCTGCCTCACACCACTCACTCTCCGTTCTTCTGGCCCTGGCCCTGGGAGCCAGGATGTTGGGCTCTAGGCTCAGTGCTGCCAGCTGCAGCAGCATCTGGGGCCGAGGGAGACTCCTACTGTCCTCAGTGACAAAGGCCAGCCACACAGAAGATGGGCACAGCTGGGAGGAGCTCCCAGGAGCACCTGCACCTCCATTTCACAGCCCGGTAGACTGAGGCAGGCCAGGAGGAAGGAGGGCTGGTAGATCGTCACAGCCACCAGTTTAAAGCTGTCTTGGCTGCCCCTCACTCTTGGGACCACGGGCCCAGAGCCGTAGACTGCAGGAGACCTATAAATAGCCTTTTAAATTCTTAGCACAGTCATAGACTCTCACAGATTCTCAGGCTCGGTGTCCTTGAAGCAGAATATTAGAATTCCACAGTGGGGGAGTCAGTCCTTGCTCAGCCCAGAACGGTGGCAATTAGGACCTTTAACGTCCTGCTTCCTGGGCTTGCTGCATCGGGGAGGGGGGGGGGATGTCCTACGTCACCCGTCCACCTTGTGCCCTGTTCTGCACACAGCCTCTCTCCAGCGACCCTGCTGGGCAGCCGACTGCAACCCAGGACTGCAGAGGGAGGGCAGTGCCAGGCTGGAGAGCAGCAGAGAGCCAGGCAAACCTAATTTCCAGGCTTGGGGACAGATGCCCTCAGGGAAGCACCCGTGTGCTGATACAGGGCGGGGCAGGAGCGCCTCCCTTTGTGCCTGAGGAGGAACTAACCTCTCACAGAGCCCCTGCAGCCCACCTGCCCAAGACTCCAGCCTCCAACCAGTTCCCCCCACCCTCTGTGTCAAAGTTTAGCAGCCCGAGGGGCGGGCCACAAGAGCAGGGAAATTACAGCTTTGCACCCGGGTAAGGCAGACCTGCAATTTAGGTGCTGGCTTTTCTGGAAGCAGCTGGAATCCTGGGCATGATCTAGTTCCTCCTCAGGAAGGAGGGACTTTTCCTCTCTGTCTGGTTTATCTTTGGCACAGATTGCCTGAAACCTGGGGGCGGATTCCTCTGAGGACCATTCCGTTCAGGAGGGGAGAGAAGCACAGAGAGGGTGAGTGGCTGCCCCAAGCCCCACAGCAATTAATGACGGCCCCTCAGGGTTGGGCTGGCTTTCAGCACCCAGCATATCACCCAGAACTTGGTAAATATTGGCAGGCCATGCACTGCAGCCTGCAGAGTGCCGGGGGGGGGGGACTTTCTTCCTGGACAGAGGCCTCAGACTCCAGTCAGAAAGCCCTCAGGCCTCAGGAAGCTCCAAAAGTGGGTGCTGAGGATCAGAGAGGATAGGCAACTCACCTAAGGTCACCCAGCTGTTGAGTGGGAAGGCAGAATTCGAACGTGATTCTGTCTACACTTAAAGCATCGGTATCTCCCAGCCATGCAGCTTCAAGCTGGGAGGAATCGGGGCCCGCTGCGGCCCTGAACAGGGCAGGCCAATGGCCTCTGGCTGTCCTCTGCACCCCAGGCCTTCCCTCAAAGAGGTTGGATTGTGCCCGTCAGTACTGACCGACCAGCTCCCACCCTAGGCCTGGGGTCTAAGCCCCGGCTTCTACCCCACAAGTGCTGCGCTGGGGTCTGAGTTCTGCTGCAGTGATGGTGGGTGCCAGGCTGCAGTGTGACCTTCGACAAATCCCTTCTCCTCCCTGGACCTAGTTTCCCTCCAATTAAATGCAGACGCAGGTACCCTCAGCCAGGGTGGTTATAGCTTGGACAAGATCAAGCGCAATCCAGCACCCTGCAAAGAGGGAGCTCAGCCACACCGCCCCCAGGGGGCCACAGGCCACCACACTTCGAACCCAGCTCTGACCCCCAGCTGCTCCAAACCATACCCCAAACTCTCAGAGGAGTCCCCACCCTGCAACCCACCCAGAGGTCCCAGGAAGGCCTCCAACTCTGCACCCCAGGACTCTACCAGCCCCCAGCCCCCAGCCCCCCACAACCATCCTGGGCAGAAGGTGGGCCCTGGCACCCCCCTCCAGGACCCCAGCCCAGCCTCCTTACCTGCCCATGGGGCGAGGGCTCCCTGCTGCCAGGCTGGTCATCATCCTGCTGCGCCCTCCCCCTGCCCAGTCCCAGGTGCCCCCAGAGCACCCCTGGCCGGCGTCCCCACACACTGCCCACTGCTAGGCTGCTTGTGGGCACTTGCCCCTCCGAGGCCCTGGGCACCCACGTCTGCCCACAGAGCCGGTCCCATCTGTTCTTCGGCCCTGACTTCCCACCGGAGCCCAGTGCGTCATCCCCCGTCTGTGGGACACATCCTAGGGGGCAAGGGACACAGATGGGGGTCTGCAGGCTTGGGTAGGGATGGAGGAGGAGGCTTCCCAAGGCGAGGAAGAGAAGACTGGGACAGGGGACTGCGAGAAGCCAACACAGAGAGAGGACAGGAGGGTCAGGCGGAGGTGCAGAGAGAGGGAGAGGCAGAGTGGGTGGAGAGCCGGAAGGAGGGGGAGCAGAGAGATGTGTGGAGGAAGAAGAGGAGGAGGAAAGGCAGGCGAGAGAGAGAAGGGACAAGAGAGAGATGCAGAGAGAGCCAGGGACCGTGCGTGTGAGAGAGGAGGGAGGAAGAAAGAGGGGGTGGCAGGGAGAGTGACAGGGAAGGATTGTGCCACAGATGGTGACATGGAGAGCCGGCCGAGGAGGGAGCTGGAGTGGCGTGGGGGTGCCGGAGGGCTGGGAGGAGGGGCCGAGGCCAAGAGCAGATGGGGGGCAGCAGGTTAGGGGCGGAGGCCGGGAGAGGGAGGGGCCGACCCGTTACCGGGGAGATTTCAGCCACCCACGCTGGCCTTGGCTCTCAGGGGAGCGAGGGGAGCTCGGAGCTCAGCCGGTGGCAGGACACCCCAGGCTGCTGCGGCACCTGTCCCCCGGGGTGACAGCTGTGCTCCCAGGTGTGGGGCTGGGCAACACTGCCCGAGGTGCAGCCAGGCAGGGGCGAGCACCCAGGTGGGAGTCTGCCGCGGGGTGCAGGGTCCTCAGAGGACACAGAGTGGGGGTCACTAACCGGGGTCCAGGGAACCTGGTGAGCCCCGGGCGGAGTGAGAAGCCGGGGGACAGGCTAGGAAATGAGTATTTTTAGACTTTGAGAGCAGAGAGGCAAACCTCACAGCTATCATACAGCGAGGAGCAAATTTCCACTATGTTTTAATTGACAAAATTAAAAATATAATCACTATAATAGAACAATTTTTTTATAATACAAGTCTGCTAAAGAGAATAGAGTTATTTGGGAGAGGATTACATTTGGTTTAACTGGAGAACAAAGTTGGCATTTCCTGTCATCAGGTGGGCTGCCTCTGTGAATCTCTACAAACCTCTCGGCTTGCAGGCTCTGCAGACCCAGGTGGTGGCCCGTGGCCGTATCTACCTGCCTGGTCTGAGATTCCCTGTCCAGGGTGCTTGAGCCTGGCCTGACCACCTCTGGACATCATCGACCCCTGTGTCTGGGGGACGAGGTTGGAGAGGGAAGAGGACATGAATCTTCCTTGAGCACCTCTCCGTCCTCCAGTGAAAGCCCCTGCAGCCCACCAGGCTCAATGCCCTGCTCCCCTCGCCTGCCCAGGCCTAGCCCACTCAACCCCGCTCACCCCTTCACCCTTCATTCGTCCAGACACCAGCTGGCGACAGGCTGCTTCTATACCACAGGGACACTGGTGAACGGGACCAGCCCCTGGCTCACCTGGAGGAGGACAGACAATCCACAAACACAGAGAGAGCCAGAACCGACCTGGGCTCGAGGAAGAAGGCAGAGCTGGAAGGAGGCAGCCGTCCCTTCGGGGGTCTTCTCCCCCAAGGTGCGTGTTGGACGAGTGAAGAGGATGGGTAGCTGGCGGGGGCACGGGAAGGGCGCTGCCTGGAGGTGGGGTACGGCTGGCCTGGATGCCGGCCCGGGGCAGCTGTGACCGGAGTCGGACCCCAGCCTCCCTGGGGGTCCAAGCCAAAGTGGCCCGGGAAGCAGCGCACAGGGTGTCTGGAAGCTGGGTGGCCCCACCCCACTGGCCTCGAAGTGCTGGAGACCTCAGACCTGGAGCCTGAGAGCCCCTACCTCAGACCTGTCCGATCCGCCAGGTGTCTGGGGGCTGCCCGGCCTGCCACCCCCAGACAAGACAGTGCTGTCAGAACTTGGCTCCTCCAAGACCAGGGCTGTGGCTACATCCTCGGACTTGTGCCTCCACCATCAGGCAGGTAGTTTTCCAGGAGCCCAGACTCCATCTTTCCCCTCCCTGGAGCAGGGTCACAGCCTTCTGCCACCTTCCTCTCTGCCTGCAGTGCCTAGGCCAGAGCTGACCTCAGAGGAGAAGGCCCAGCTGCTGAGAAGAACATCTGTCATCTCAAATAAGAGATAACAAGTGGCCTCTTCAGCCCAACCCCTGGGCCGTCTCACTGCAGTCCCCCTCAAGGTGTTGTCTGAGTCATTAGGCCCACTGGTTCCTATGGGTCTGAGGCTCGGCTTTGCCACTTACTGGCTGTGTGACCTCAGATTTGTGACTTAACCTCTCTGAGCCTCAGTCTTTCATCATCAACACCTGCTGTGTAGGGTTGCCATGACGATGGAATGACTCAACCACTTACACTGCCACCGTTCCCAGGGACACAGAGATACCACAGTATATATTAGTGTGATCCTGGCCACCTCTGAACTCCCAAGGGTAGGGGAACAAGGGCTGGGACACTGGGTGGAGGACAGTGAGCCTAGCACCTGCCTGTGAAACCTTCTTGGAACTTGGGTTTTCTTCTGCAGTGGACCAGACAGCCTCAGGCCCGCAGTCTCTAAGCTATGCCCACTCTCTCTCGAATCTGGGCACCATGCTGGGCCTGGCACTGGAGGAGCTCAGGACCTACCACTTTGGCATCCTGATTCTTTTTAAGCTAAAGTCCTTGAAAAGCAAGCAGGGCACAGTGACCTTCGAGGCTGTGAGAAAGGTACCCTGGAACGTTCCTGCCCCGGGGACAGAAGGCGGGGACAGCTGCACTGCAGACCTTTCCAAGGACCCCTTATCCTGGGGACCCACACCCACACAGCCCCTCACACCAGGGCACAGATGCTACCCCACTCCTCCTGCACATCTGGCCCAGGTCAGTTTAATTCCTGGGCCCAGCCAGAGACTCAAAGAGTAGCAGAGAGCAAAAATCCAGCCTCTGCTCTGCCCCTGTCATCTATCTTGGTCCCGTGCTTCTGTGCTCAGCAGGAAAGGTGAGACTTTTAGATTCAATGGCTGCCTGCGTCAGACTCTTCTGAGGTCACCTGCTGCTCATTGATTGAAACACGCTGTCTCTATGGCCTATGCCCTGTCACCTGCTGCTGCCTGCTTTCTTTCACACTCATCCCGTCCTCTGGTTCTAAAGCACCGTGGCCCTCAGTCCGAATCTCATGCAAGCCCCAGGCCCTTTGCACAGGCTGCTACCTGTTCCTTCCTTCACTTCCAGGAAGGGGCAGGGCAATCATGTGCTCAGGGCAGCCTTCTCTGAAGCCCACCCCTCTCTCTCTCCTGCCCAATCTTCCTTTGTAATGCAATTATTTTTATTTTATTTTTTTCTTTTTTTCAATAATTTTTTATTGAGTTTATTGGTACATTCTAAGTATACAGTGCAGTTACATTCATTACTGGGATCTTGTACCTTTACATGACAGGTATTGGTTCTCATTTTTTCCCCTTGTCACTACCCTCCCTTCACCCCCTTATTTTATTTTTTTCAAGGCACTGTTCACAAATAAAATTGTTAAACCAATTGTGTCAAAAAGGATTACAGCAGTTTAAAAAAAAACAGTAATTTTCTTACGGCCCCGCTGCTTCCTTGTCCCAGAGGTAACCCCACCCTCATAGCTATTTCTCCTGTTTACCTCCAATTTGCTAAAGTCATTTTTGTTTCTCTCAATCTTGATTCCCCAATCTCACTTATACCTATGAACTTCCTATTATGGCAGGTGAGCAGTTTAGATTTCTTGTTAAAGACAATCTCTACGTAGTTGAGGCTGGCCTTGAACTCACTCAAACTCACTGCTATCCTCCTGCCTCAGCTTCTTAAGTGCTGGGATTACAGGCGTGCACCACCATGCCTGGCAGGAATATAGATTTCTTACACCCTCTCCTCCCCATCTTCTCAGTGTGACTTATGTTACATACATATTCAATGTCCTCAATATGAATGCAGTGTAAATATTTTCTGCTCAACTAAGAGTTAATGACTGCCGCATTTTTTTCATTTGCTCAGCTTGTTTTTTGCTAAAACGTCTTGGTTTTCTTGAAGAAGTGTTTCCACCTATGGCCCAACAGCTCCATCCCTCCCTGTTTCCAGAATCTAACCATGGTGAATTTTTTTCCTGGCAACTACTGAGCCCCTCTTCCCTGGCTCTGCTGCCTCTGAGGCCTCGCTGTAGCTTGGGCATGGAGTGTCCCCCGGGCCCATGTGTTGAAGGCTGGGTTGCCAGCCATGGTGCTTCTGGGAGGTGTTGGAACCTCCGGGAAGGGTAGTAGTAGAAGGAAGTGAGATCACTAGAGTGCACCCTTGAGGAGCTATTGGGACCCCAGCCCTTCCGGGGTCTTTCTCTGCTTCTTGGCTGCCCTGAGGAGAACAGCTTTGCTCCATCACAAACTCCCACCATGATGCTCTGCCTCACTGCAGATTAAAACCAACATATCCAGTCAACCACTGACTGAGACTTTGGAAACCATAGGCCAACTTCAATGTGTTGTAGTTCCGGTCTTACATATCCACCAAAGGCCATGGGCTAAAATAAAGGCTTGGTTACCATGAGGGTACTATCGGGAAGTCAAGAAACTTCAGGAGACTGGTGAAGTTGGAAGAGGGGATTGCTGAGGATGTGTCTTTGGAGGGTGCATCTGGGACCTCTCCCCAATCTGTCTGTCTCTCTGTCTCTTTCCTTCCCAGGTGTCACAAGGTGAGCCGTTTTTCTTTGTCACATAACTTCACCATGATATTCTGCTTCAGCACAGGTCCAGAAACAATGGAGCAGAGTAAGCACGGATGGAAACCTCTGAAACCAAAATAAATCTTTCTTCCTTTAAGTTGAATTTCTCAGGTATTTTTTCACAGAAACAGAAAGTTGACTGACAGAAAATTGATGCTAAGAAGTGGGGTTGTTGCTATGGCTATACCTGACCATATGGTTCAGAAGTAACTTGGAACTCATCTGTGGGAGAAATTTGGAAAAAAGTTGGAGAGGCTGGCTAGAGTAAAATCTTACAAAGTGGTAAGCAGAGCTTAATGGGTGATTCTGGTGGGAGCTCAGACCAGGACGCTGATAGGAATGTGGACAGCAAAGGCCAGGCTCAGGAGATTTCCAGCAGAAATGAGGACTCTGTTGGTAATTGGATTAGCAGTGATGCATATTACATTCTGGAAAAGAATTTGTCTGAGACTTTATATGAGGCTGAGTTAAAGGTGACAGGCTAACCTGATAGAGGAAGTTTCAAGGCAGCCCAGCATTCAATCTGTGACATGCATATTGCTGACTACTTTTAGGAAAATTTATAGTGAGAATCAATGAGCAAAAAGCAGAACTGAAAGATTAAGAGTTGCAGTTTGGCCAGAGAAAGAGTACATTTAAAGTTGTAGCCAAGAAGGGTGTGGTTGTTAAAGAGATGGCTGCTATTAAAAAGAACCCAAATACATTGCCCATGCCCTCTGGAGGCCACAATGTAAGGCTTAAAGTCTCACTTTTACAGCCAAAAGGCTTCCACGATGCTGAGCCCTAAAGCTTGGCAAGGCTCCAAGAGCTTGTCAGACAGCAAGAGTCACCCAGGAAGGAACACACCAGGCTGGTTGGCAAATAGACCTTTATTAGTCTGGCCAGATGGCACTCCCAAAGCCAAGTAGCTCAGAGAGGCAGCTAGCTCAGAATCAGAGGCCATTTTATATAGGGCTATGGGGGGAATTTACACTTGAAACTCACAGGAAGGGGACAAAGGCAAGTGGTCATCAATCATATACTCAACCGTTGCGTACTAATGATCAGCAGATCGATTATCCATTGTTTTATAGATTGCAGTGTTCAGAACATTCAGTTATGGGCAAACAAGGAGTGGAGTGATTTACTTTGGGTCTCTATGTTTGTTATAGTTTCTATCTAGTTTCCCAGCTACTCCCAAGCAGGTACCTAGTAATTCACAATTAATCATTACTTATCCTGTAAGGAGTGGGGGAACAATAGTCTCTGGGTCATTTGCTGGTCAACATGGAGTTGCTCTAGTTCAGCAAGGCTCTTACAACAACATACTACAAGCACCTTGTGCCCTGCATACTAGACATGGAGCACAGGAGTTACTGTTTGCCCTGCTTGTGTTTTAGTCTTGCTTTGGTCCAATCCTTCCTTGGAATTTCCTAGTCTTCCCTTCTGGAATAGGAATGTTTACTCAGTGCCATTATATTTAAGGAATATGTAATTTTTTTTAAATAGGGACTTATAGCTAAGTTTACCTCGTGTGTCAGGAAGAAACTTGGGACTTCTGAGCAATGCTAGAATTTTTAAGATGTTGAGGACTCTTCTAGATGGACTAAATTCATTTTGTGTTATCAGGTGATCATCAGCCTTGGGGACAATGGGTGGACTGTTATAGTTAGATCTGTAATATCACCCAAAGGCTCATGTGTATCTAGTTTAAATCTCAGCTGGTGACCCTTTTGGGAAGGGAAGGAAACTAGGAGATGGGGCTAATTGGAAGAGGAGGGTCCTGAGGGTGTGACTTTGAAGGGATATTTGTCCCTGGGCTTTTCTCTTTCTTTTTGCTTCCTGGCCACTTTAGGTAAGACTACACGCTCCCTGCTGCAACCCTCTGCCTTGCTACAGACCAGTGCGGCCAACAGACCACAACTGAAACCATGAGCCAAAGCAAATCTTTCATCCAATAAGGTGAGTCCCTCAGTTATTTTGTCAAACCAACAGAACACTAACACATAGTTGATGGCCTGGGATTCACTCTTACATAGCAGGGATTCCCTCCGTCTTTTTCCTGCGTTAGATTCAGGTTCTTAGACTCCATTTTTTCCTTTTTGATGGAAAGGATTTTACATTCTCATTTGTTTTTTTTTCTTTGTTTGTTTGTTTTTGAGACAGGGTCTCACTATGTAGTTGAGACTGACCTGTAACTCACTATGTAGCCCAGCCTGGTCTCAAACTCACAGTGATCCTCCTGCCTCAGCCTCCGAGTGCTGGGATTACAGGCGTGTGCCACCACGCCCAACTCTACATTCTCATTCTGATGGAATATGGCCCGGCAGCAAATTCCCAAGAAAATGTACATGTTTGAAAACATTTAACTCCCCTCTTACATTCATGGATAGCTTGGCTGGGTATAAAATATGAGGCTGAGCCAGTGACAGAGGCAAAGGCCTGTAATCTCAGTACTCTGGGATGCTGAGGCAGGAGGAAGCTAGTTTGAGGCCAGCCTAGGTAATTTAGAGACTTAGTGGCAACCTGACTCAAAATAAAAACATTTTAAAGGGCTGAGGATGTAACTCAGTGTAAAGGCCCTGGGTTTACTCCCCAGGCCAGAATGGTGGAGGGGAGGAAAAAAAAACTCCGGAGGCTGAGAATCACTTTGGTCAGGAGGTGGAAAGCATCTGTCCCTGTCACTGGCTGCCAGTACAACTTTAACAATAACTTTAGGTAACATTTTTTCTTTATTATAGAAACTTCCAAAATCTTTCTTTTAACTCAGAATTTCTGAAATTTTGTAACAATGTGCTTTGGTGTCCCCTCCCTTCATTGCTTTGGACTGTGTTGATATGGTGATTCCTGGACAGGCATGGTGGCACACGCCTGTAATCCCAGCATTTGGGAGGCTGAGGCAGGAGGATCACTGTGAGTTTGAGATCAGCCTGGGCTACATAGTGAGTTCCAGGTCAGTCTCAACTACATAGTGAGATCCTGTCTCAAAACAACAAAACAAAACAAAACTAACAATAATAATAATGATAATAATAATAATCTGGAGATTCATGTTCTTCATTTCCAGGAATGATTTTTATTATTATTTTCTTCTGAACTACCATTTGAATATTTGGGCTCCTGGATTAAACCTTTAACTTTCTTGTTCATCTTTACCATTTTATTCTATCTCTTGTTAGATTTTTTTTCTTACTGTTTTTATCTATCTTCCAATCATCTTAACCAACATATTTTTAATTTCCCAGGGATCTTTTCTGATTCCTGGCTGCTGGAGTCTTGGGCTTGTTTGTAGATAGACTATGCCTCCTTTTCTTTCCAAGGACAGCAATGATAGTTTCTTCAGATTTTCTTCTCATTGCATTGTCTCTGTTTCTTGCTGGTCTCTCTTCATCCCTTTGCTTGATCTGGGCCATTCATGGGAGAAATGTTTTAAGCTCACCATTCTTGTTATGCATTCTTGTTTCCAAATGAAGCATCAGAGCTCTGGCTGGAGCTCTGGCATGCAGTGGTGAGCATCTCTGCAAGGCAGCTGCACCTCTTGTCAAGGAAACCTGGAAGTCGGCAGAGGCCTTTCTCTGGGATGACCAGATCCCCCATTTTCCTGCCTGGGGTGAGTATATGCCTGGCACTAGCACTCTTGACCTGGGCCAGGGAAGGGGCTGGGAGCAGCCTATTCAGAAGTCAGATTCACTAAGCCCTCTGTATCAATCAGATGCTGCTGTGTAACAAGCCACCACAAAATCTCCGTGGCAACACCAGCACACATTGATTGACATTCAGCCAGGATGGGTGGATCTAGACCAGGGAAGATGTCCATCGGCTCAGCTGGCCACACCCCCGCCACCTTTGCTGTTTCTCTCATTGCTTGGCAGACTCACCCACGGCATGTTCTTTTTCTACAGCACAAAGGAAGCAGAGCCAAGGGCACAGGCACACTTGGGTAACTCTTCTGAGACTTGTGCTAATAAAGTTCCTGTGGCAGAACAAGTCCCATGGCTGGGTCTCAGGGAGGTGGGGGCTGAGGAAGTGGTTATTTGCTGAGTGGAATAGAATCTGATGAGTCTCCAAGGTCAGTCTGGTACCTCACCCAAACCCTGCCCAAAAGCAGGCACCCCAGTCCCCAGCTTTCTGTTTGAATTTTCCCTGCCTAGCTCAGAGACAAGAGGCTGCCTAGCTGCATCATGCAGGGGTAAGGATCAGAGGGGACCCTAATCCCTCCTTGGACTCCTAGGCCACCCAGCCTGCTGATTTCACCTCCTGCCTCCCACCTGCAGTGTCTGGGTCCCTAATCCTGAATCTCCCTGAGGTTCTTGAAGGCCACCCCACTTCCACCACGTCTCAGCAGACACTGAGATCTGTCCTCCTGGGCTATGGCAAATCATTTGTTCACCCTGCCATCTGCTCTCACCCTCGCACGCTGTGGTTTGGGGTTACAGGTGTCTCTTGCTTTCTCTGAAGATGGGTGTTGGGTTTCTGTTTCTTGTTCTCTTGTCTTGTTGCTTCTTGACACGGCCCCCTGAGACCACAGTCTCTTCCTCTCTATGCGGTGTGACATGCGGCTTGAGCCTCATGGTAGAGGTTTGTTTGTGCCTCTGCCTCTCGCCCTGCGCTCTGGGTCCTATGAGGGACAGGCTGTCCCTCCCCTCCCTGCACCTCCAGCTCCGGCACACCCCAGTGCACAATACCCAGGGCACATGTGGCAGAATTGGGGATTACGTGGGTCGCTGTCCATTTGGGCTTCCTTTAGGCCCGCTGCAGGAGTCCCCAGACCTTCCTCTCGATCCCCAGGGCCCACCTCCTCTGCCCTTATCTTCTGGAGCCCAGATGGGGAAGATGGAGGGCCTGGAGGGAGGGGCAGAGATCAAAAAGAACCCTTGCCCCGAGCAGTCGCTGTCGGGCACCAGTGGAGAGGAACCAGCTCCCAAAACCTAGTGGTGACGGCAGCAGCACAACGGCTCTCTGTGTCTCTGAGGGGCTGGGCTCCTGGGGGGAGCTCTTCTCTTCCCATGGTGATGGATGAGAAATCTGGGGACTCCTGGCTGCCGCATCCAAGATGGCTCTTACCTGTGGCTGTGCCATGGTGGGGAAGCTGGAGGCTGGGCACCGTGGGGTCACTGGAGCTGTTGGCATCCCCAGCCCTCCTCTCTCACCCATGTACTCATTTGCACAAACAGTGGCTTCAGGCCTTAGAGCTGGGGTCACACTGTGGAACGCACAGGCCCTGCTTCCCTGGGCTTGCTGCTTAGCGGAAGTGCTTCGTTAACACTTCATTACTAACAGCAATAAACAGGGCTGGGGCAGAGTGGCTGTGGAGGTGCCTGGGGCCAGCAGGTATCTTAGGAGGAGGGCGTGGCTGGAGCCAAGGCCCTGGGGTGGTTGAGGACAGGCTTGATGAAGCGGCCCTGGGGTCTGGGGATCTTGGAGGAGGGGTTGTAGGTCTGATGGGCAAAGGCTGGGCTTCCCTGCTCAATGCCCTGTGGTGCCGCTAGAGGGCTCAGACACAGGAGCTGTTTGATCTGGTTTGGGTTCTGATGTGATCGCTCTGGAAGCTCTCTGGGGAGAAACTGAGTCCAAGAGCAAACTGGAAGTGAAGAGGCCAAGCAGGATGCATGAGTGGTCAGAATGACACTCAACAAACCTTCCTCCGTCCTGCCAGGCTCTGGAGGAGTTCTGGTCCCTGCCCCACAGTGGTGGCCTTGGCCACATGCAGGGTAAGCAGAGGCTTCCGGTGTGCTTGGGGTAGAGCTCGGCCACAGCGCTTCTGTGATCCACCAGGAGCACAGCAAGTCCCAGCCAGCACTGGTCAGAGGCTGAGACCCAGGGAGCACAGCCTCACCGGCCTGCAGCAGGAGCAGGTCCCCCATCCCAGCCTGAGGCAGGTCAGCCAGCTCACCCTGGACGGTGAGAACAAAAGCTTGCTGCTCTGGCCTCTGGATTGGGGGTGTTTTGTTACACAGCAGTATTTTAGCAGTACTTCGTCCGTCCATAGCTGACTACAACGGTAGCCCCTGAGCCATCCAGGAAGGGAGCGAGGCAAAAGCAAAGGGGCCATTTCCCTGCTCTCTGCAGATGTGGGAGTCCCACTGGCTGTTTTTGAAGAGGACAATCACACTGTTTAGTATGTGAGACAGAGTCAAGGCAGAGAGGGGAGATAGGGAGGCCAGAGAGGAGGCTGTCACTGCTGCCAGGGGACAGGTGGCAAGGCCAGGAGCCAGAGTACAGATGGGTTTGGTCAACACTGGGAAGCCAAACAGTCCAGGCTTGACCAGTGAATATCAGGGCAAGAGAATAGGAGACTGGGGAACCCCATCATCCCTGCTTTGGAGAAGGAATAAGGGGCAGCCAGGCTCCAAGACAGAGTCTTGAAAGAAGTGGTCTTTTTTTTCCTTTCCTTTCGTTTTTAAGACAGGGTCTCATTGTGTAGCCCAGTGAGGCCTTGAACCCTCAGTGATCCTCTTGTCTCATTTCCAAGGGCTGGAATTACAGATGTGTGCCACCATGCCCGGCTAAAGGAAGGGTTCTTGCCGGGCAGGCATGGTGTGCTGCAGGGAGCCCCGTACCCCACCGGGCTGGGTGCTGGTGATCCTCACCACACCATCAGCCCCTGCCCACGCCCAGCCGCCCTTCCTGTTTCAAAACAGGTTCTCACAGGCCTCCCCTCACCGCTGCTCTTTCCTGCTTGCAGGCTTCTGATCCTCAACCCATTTGCAGAGCAGAAATAAATGCCTCTCCTGCTGACTTCCATGCATGTCTGGTTGGCCAAAACTGTGTAACCTCCAAGCACCAGCTGCGGTGCCAATGGGGAAAACAAGTATTTTGTTTAGTGCTAGATACCTTGCTCCCCAGCACAAAACTAGTATTCTACCGTCAAGTGGGGTGGGAGTAGTGACAGAGGGTGGGAGAGTGCAGAGCCATCCTTGATCATCTAAGCCTGAATTCTTGTGCCTTCCTGAACCTCTGCTCCTCCTCTGCAAAGTGGGCCTATAGTGAAAGACATTGCAGAAGATTAAATGAGATAATGTACACTGGGTAGGGTGACACAATGAGTGGGATGATTTATTTACCAACCTTACTCTTGGCATAAAAGCAAGACTGTCTCCCCCAGGGCAGGCTTAGGGGGCTGAACTCCCACCGGAGGAGCCCTCAGCCCACTTTCAGCATGAAGGGAAGTAGAGGGGGGGCATGTACAAAAGCCCTGGGGTGACAGCAGCATGAATGTGGCTTGCAGGATTGAGGGTCCAATCCAATGGCAGAGGCACTCTTGTGGAAGAGAAAGAAGGTAGAATGTGGCCAGGCCTCCAGGGCCACCGAGGAGGGCTCTAGAATTTAACCCCAGACCCTGCAAAGAGCAGCCTTCTGCCTCCTCTGACTCTGGCTGCGTAGAGGGGATGCCCCAGGGCTTTCCAAGGCAGATCTAAAGGGGCCAGGGCTCACATGCATGGGTTTTAGTGTTTTCTTTCTGTTTCAGAGAAGTAAAATCATATGGACTTCGAGCAGAAACTAAGGGAAGCAGAGGGGTTTCCCTGCTCACCAGTTCCCTTTGGGGTAGGGTCCTGGGAGGTATGTGTGGGGGTCCTGACTTGGGACTTGTGGCTTGGGGACAGTGGGAATGCTTGGAGATCCGGGAGAGCAGAGCCGCCGGGGCCTTCTGGGCTGCGTAGTTGGGGTCTCTCTCCTCTCAGCCTCTCTGATCCGTGGCAGCTAGAACAGCGCCGGGCACAGAGGTCGGGGAGCACACAGTAGATGTGTTATGTGGATGGATGGAAAGCTTAGCTGCAGGAGGCTGGTGACTGTGAGAGGGGAAGTCTGGCATGTGCCTCTGAGCCCGCAAATGCTAAGGCGAGGACGCTGCGCCATCCTGCTCAGAATCCTTCCTGAGCTTGGGGCCTGCTGAGACCACTGCTGCTCTGCGTTATCTGGACGGGTCCTCTCCTTAGGTTCCAACATGGCTTCACTCCAGCCTAGCATGTGGGCCACGCCTGGCCAATCAGAGCCCAGCATTCCTCCGACATATAGAATTGGTTGGAGGGAGGGGCTAAAACTTTAACTGGTCCAATCAGAGTAGACCTTCCTTAGAATTTTGTCCAGGAAAGATACTTGGTTTCTTTGGCTGAGCTCAAACCTGCAAGAATGGAGGCCCGCAAGTCACCTGCTTGAGAATGGACCAGCCGCCAAAGGAAGAACCAAGAGGCACAGGGAAACAAGCCTTCGTGGCATTGTTGGAAGCCCCCCCCCCCCGTTAAAGCTGCATCTGAAATTATGGGAGTTCCAAACTGAATCAATAAATTTATTTTCAGTTTAAGCAGGTTGAATTAGCTTTTCTGTCTGCAGTAGCAAGAGTCCTGCCTGGCAGAGGTGACTCTTGGATAGGTTGGCAGATACCCACAGGAGTTTAGAGAAATTGATTTGTGTTGTCCCGGTAAAGGAGAACTAAGACCAGGGAAGCACAGGTCTGACACACATTTCGCTCACTCGAAGAACGACTTTCAGATAAGCAGGATCATCAACACTGGAGCAAGAGCCCCATCCCTGGAGGGCTCCAGTGGCGGCTGGCAGCCGGGAGGCTCGAAGTTCCCAGAGGGGAGTCAGGCAGCCGCTCCCATCCCTGAGAAGGCAAGAATACGGAGGGACTCTGAGGCAGCACCTGCGAATTTACCCCTGCTGGCCCCAGGGGCCTCCAGCATGGAAACAATCAGCCAAGCTCTGCAGCATTAAGAAACGCCACAGGGAGGGGCACCGTGGCCAGCCAAGGAGCCATCTCGGGCCTGGAGGGTCAGACCACTCTGAGGGAGGGCCAAGGTGCAACCTGGAAGGGAGACAGGCAGCGGGTGAGACTTGGGGGTAGGCAGAATGCACACCTCGCCCAGCCCCGGCTCCTTCTTCCTCCCTCCCCCCACACGGTCCTCCCCAGCCTCCTGGGTCTTCTTTCAGGAACCCCTGCAGGCTGCCTCCACCAGACCTAGCACCCCTTCCACCCCACCACCAAGGTCATGGGTGTCCACGTTCTACCTAGCCCCATGCCATCCTCACGGTGGGTGCCCCTCCCACCATGGTCAGCTGGTGTATGTGTCAGGGGTCACAGTACTGGGGGAGGACGCTCACCCTAGAGGAGGCTGCACGGGCGCTTCTGTGGCCGCGTGGGCTGAGGGCACAGGACAGCACGGATGGCCTCGTCAAAGACAGTCTTCAGGCCTCTCTGGGTGAGGGCTGAACACTCCAGGTACTTCACAGAGTCTGGGTGAGAGATGGGTAGTAGGGAGCAAGGCCTGAGCCAGGGGTGGAGGATCCAGGGAGACACCCTAAACCACCGCATGAGGGTGCAGCCCCGAGTCTGGGTTCCAGTCCCAAGAAGGCCTCCTGGGAGCTGCGTAGCCCTGAGTGGGAAATCTGCCTCAGGGGCCTCAGTTTCCCCATCTGGAGTAGGAGGAGACCCCAGGGCAGCGTGTGTCTTTCTTGAACACAGGAGCTCCTGGTCAGTGGGAGGCAGGTAGTACTTGGGCTCCGGTGTCTTTGCCTCTCATTTTCTTCTAGAAACAGCATGTGCCTGTGTCCATGTGCTCCCCAAGGAGCAAACAGCCCTCAGTCACCAGCACCCCTCAGCCTCATCTGACTGTTCCTTAGCCTCATCCCCCTTTTACAGAGGGGGAAACTGAGGCTCAGAGAGGATGAATGACTTGTCCAATATCACCTGCTGAACATTTTCCCTCCACCAGGGTACCTGGGGACCCCTCAGTGAGGGGGTGGGGACAGACAGGACCCCAACACTGAGAAGGGCAGCCTGTGCTGCACCCTTGGGGACAGTGCTCCTTGGCCTTTTGGTCAGAGCTCGCCTGGTCTCCCCCGTCTGCTGTAACATGAAAATGGTCCCGGAAGGAGGAACCACGAACCCATTGCAAGGAGGCCTCGGTGATGTCAGAGGCAGAGGAAGGAAGGGGAGGAGGGGACTCCACACCCTCATGGAAGCCCCAGTGTCCTCTGGGGTGGAAGGAAGGGGACAGAGGGTCAGCACCTGGCCATGAGGGTATCTCTGACAGCGCTGTGGAGAAATCCTATGATTCCCCACTGGGCAGATGAGAAAACTGCTGGGGAATCCTCAGCCAGGAGCCTTACAGCTGGGAAGAGGGCATCAGGACTGCAGGGGGTACCCCAAGAAACCCACAGAGGCCCTGGCTTGGAGAGGCCAGGTGGATGGGTGGGGACAAGGACAGGGAGGCTGATGAAGGCTGTCACTTGTCCTGAGTTTGTGAGGAGATAACCAGGCATGGTGGCACAATCCTGTAATCCCAGCACTGGGGAGGCTGAGGCAGGAGGATCTCAGTGAGCCTGGACTACATAGTGAGTTCAAGGACAGACTGAACTACGTAATGAGACCCTGTCTCAAAAAACAAAATCCTTGAAGTTTATGAGGAGAGCACAACAGGCCTGGTATGAAGTAGGGGACTCAGGGCTTATGCCCCAGCAAGGCCCCTGGGGCAGAGGGCCTTGTCATCACTAGTCACAGGAAAGGAGGAGGTGGCTGTGGTTTGTCGGCCTGTGAGAGACGGGCCCCTCCCACTTCCGGAAGGAGAGCAGGGTTGGAGGACAAGCTGGGCCTGTGGGCCCAGCAGGAAGGCAGAGAAGCTCAGGGTGGCCAGGCCAGCTGGTGGTCTCCGCTCTGCTCCTATCTGACCAGGACAGGGACAGGGCTACAGGTTCAGGCAGACCCCACCCCACCCCCAGCCCAAAATCTACTGTACTCCCTTCAAATCCCAATGGCGCCACCTCCAGGCTGGTGACCTTGGGAAGTCATAACTCTTCTGCCCAGGGTCAGCCTTGAAGCCCTCCCAGAGGGAACCAGTCTGTCTGCACAAACCACGCCCCCTGTCTTCAGGGCCATGGAGGAAGCTCCTCGTAACAGTGCTTCTCCAGAAATGCTGCCCCCTGAGCACCAGGAGGCAGGAGCTGTCATCACAGCCATGCCTTACTGAGGAGGAGACAGGCCCAGAGAGGCCAGGGATTGCTCCAGGTACACAGCCCGTTTGGCATGGCCAGCATCTCAGCCATGCAGCCTGGCCGTGGGGCAAGGCTATGCCTCGGCTCACCCTACACGTATTTCCCATCCATGCCTGGGCCCGTACCAATCTCCTTGGCCAGTGCCAGGCCCTGCGGGTAGGTGATGGGAGCCAGCTTCTTCTCCTTCAGCTTCTCGATGGTTTCTTTGTCGTCCCGCAGGTCCAGCTTGGTGCCCACCAGGATGATGGGCGTGCTGGGGCAGTGGTGCCGCACCTCAGGGAACCACTGGGTGGGCAGCGGGCACAGAAAGAGGGAGGTGGGCACAGGGCACAGAGGGCACCAGTGCAGAGGGCAGGAGAGGGTGAGAGGGAGAAAGGAGCCATTGGTATGGGCATGCAAGAGCCAGGCACATGGTCATACGACCGGGGCAGGGGGAGATAAGAGTGGTACGAGGTGATACGGAGATAAGATTCGGGCATGAGGTTGCACGGAGGGGAGGGAAGACAAGTCACGGGAGGCAGAGAGGAAATCCATCCTCCCAGCCCCCTTGGAGGCCTCCTCCAAGTCTTGGTCACCACCCCGTCCCTTGCAGCCCTGCGTAGCACCAGCACTGTCTCCAAGGTGGCCTCTGCTGCCCCCGGAGGGCTCACATCACCTGTCGCTGCCCCATCCCTAACTCCCTCTGCCCAGCTCACCTTGGCACGGACATTCTCGTAGGAGGCGGGGCTGACGAGGGAGAAGCAGATGAGGAAGACATCCTGGGGACAGAGCAGGCCCGGGTTGCCTTGAGGGCTCCAGTGGGACAGCCCTGGGGTGGGGTCTGCAGCTCCCTGAGAGCAGATAGCTTGGGGGTCCTGGGGGCTCACCCACCAGCTGCCCCGTCTCACACTCGCGAGGCCAGCGCCTCTTCCAAAGCCTCCCGTCCCCCTGTTTCTGCAGGAAGCACTGTGTCCCTTCTGTCAGAGGGGCAGCGGGGCTTAGGAAGAGGAGGGGATCGCCATATACACCTGGGACCAGGACGCCAGACCCCAGAATCCACCTAGACTGTGCACTGTGCTACCCACCGGCCCCAGCCCTCTTCTGCCCAGGACCCCAGGTTTGGCAGCCACAGAGCCACCTGCAGGCTCACAGCCTGGCTGCTACTGAGGCCCCTGCCATACCCGAGAGGCAGAGCCGGGAGGATGGGCCCAGTGACCACAGGGGACAGACAGGCCAGGACCGGGAGCATGGGAAGAGCCCTGGTTCTGCCCAAGCAGACTGGCAGCCAGGTCTCGAGAGGGGAATGGGGCTCAGGGCCAGGACCCCAAGGTAGGGGGCAGCGCACCGTCTGTGGGTAGGAGAGGGGCCGCAGGCGGTCATAGTCTTCCTGGCCTGCCGTGTCCCACAGACCCAGGTTCACGGGCTTGCTGTCCACCATCACATTGGCTGAATAGTTGTCAAACCTGTGGGGAGTGGGCGGGACAAGGACATGGTCAGCTTCATAGCCCAGAGCCTGGGAATTTTAGCCCAGCCTAGCATTGTTCCATGTAGGGCTGAGACCCAGAGAGGGGCTGCTACTGGCCCCAAGTCACACAGCACAATGCAGTCTGTAGGTTTTCATTACCAATTCATCCTATTTAAATCTTTTTAAATGGGAGCAAACAGTGGGAGAAAAATATTAGCTTATGGTCACTTTTCTGCCTTCGGTTATCCTTAGGAGTGATCCAGACCGAGCACTGTTCCCTCCAAGAAAAAAATCTACCCACCTATCTGAGCACCTAGCTGGTCACCCAACGTTTGTTGAATGAATGTTTGTTCCTGTTTTAGGCTGGGTCCCCCGGGAACAAATCCTGAGACAGGTGCAGGGGGTTGTTTGGCAGGGACTCCAGCAAGCCATGAGAGGAGCTGACGATGGGAGATAAGGAAGGGACAGTGGCCAATAGGATGGGCTGGGCGGCCTCTGGGGCCTGGGCAGGGCCTCCCCAGAGAGGGAAGGATGCCGGAACAATTACCCACTGTCTCCCTTCTCCAGTGGGCAGAGGGCCGCCCCGAGTGACCAGGCAGCCAAGGTGATGAGCCCTTGGAAAAGCTGGCCAGGCCCTCAGAGTCCATGCAAGGCTGAGACGCGTCTGGGCAGAGGACAAACAGGGTGGAGTGGGGAGGCCTTGGAAGGCAGCTGGCCCTGCACACATTGCCTTGTGAGGTGGAGGTGCTGCTCCCCCATGCTGGGCAGCAGAAAACCGGGATTAGAGAGGTCCAGTGACTTGCCTGAGGCTGCCCAGCCACTGAGAAGGTGAGAAGCCCTCTCTGACCCCACATCCAGAGCTCCCTGAGCCGGGCCACAGCTGTGCCTTCAGCAAGGTTAGGGATCACCTCGCCGCTCACCCACATAGGCCCACTCTCTGCTCCCCGCTGTGCCTCTCCCCCACCTTCTGACCTTGCACCCCCTCACCATCCAGGCTCTCTCACCCCTTTCCACTCTTGCCTCCTATTCATGCTTCAAAACCCTTCTGGGCAACTCTCCCTCTGAGGGACTCCCTGTTACCGCTCAGAAAGAGCCCTGGGTCCCTTCCTTAGGTGACTGCTTTGCCTTGACCTTGACCTTGAGCAGGTGTTTCACCTGCCTGTGCCTGCGGGCTGGGCTTGTACCCACTTCACCTCCTTCTGGTGCCCACTGAATGTAGGTGGGACAGGATCCAAGCCAAATGAACCAGCAGCCGCTCCCCATGTGCCTTCCCCTCCCTCTGCTTCCTCCCCACCAGGCAGAGCTGACTCTTGCTCAAGGGGCAGAGGCCCGCCCCACCTAGCCCCAGCCAGCACTCCCTCGTGGCTCAGAATCCTCCGCAGCAGGCACCCTGAGGCCAGCTCGGGGCCTGGCACACAGTAGATCTGTAGCACACCCACTCTGGAGTCACCCACACTGCAGGGTTTCAGGAAGAAGGCACTATGCAGAGAGCCACAGCCGGGCATGCTAGGAAAACAATGTTTTAGACCCTGGCCAGAAAACACCTTTGGGACAAGCTTGGGATGCCAGAGCAAATGTTCAACCTAAAATTCTAGTGCTACAACCTCCCAAGATTCCTTGAGCCAGAGGCGTCCATGTCCTCTGGGTCACCCTAGGAAGGCAAGGCAGTGGCACTGGTGAAAGGGCTGAGACTTTGATAGCACCACACACCTACTCCAGAGCCTTTTATGAGTCTTAAAGTCCCATGTGACCCAAGACAAAAGGACCTTAAGATAGTCTCATTAGACAAATAAAGAAACGAAGGCCCCAAGAGTTCAAATGACATTTCCAAGCCAGCCAGCGCACAGAGTAGGAGCTGGGCTGCAACACATGTTCTTCCTGGGACGCAGGAATCGGAGCAGACAAGTGAACTGCATCCGGTGGGTTCAGCTGGGGACAGCACCCAGGGACAGCTGCCCAAGGTTGGAAAGGACAGTTCCCTGGGAAGCTGCTTCCTGGGGTGTGACTCAGGCTGAGTGACCTGGCCTCTCTGAGCCTGACTCATGTCACTTGGGGTGGGGGGACCTGTCTCTTGCAGCCGTTCCCAATGGGAGATGTGAGAAGCTAAGTAACCTCATTTTGGATGTCCCAAGGGCCCCCTGCAGGGCTCCTCTCCAGAGAGCCAGTTGCCAGAATCTGGGGGACAGCTGCAGGGATACATCCCTGGTTGACACTCCCGGGGGTCACTCTGGATTATGAGGCCCACAGAGGGACTCTAGACACCACCGTGGCCCAGGTTCCCCGGTATTTTCCAGATGACACGGAGGCTTGCAGGCAGGAAGGGACTTGCCCAAGACTCTAGCCAGCTGGTGGCAGCAGGGGCCAGATCCTGCTGCCCAACTGAGCAAAGCCTGTACAGTGAGCTTGAAACAAGCCTCTCCCGCCTGGAGGCCTGGTCTCTGGCTAAGGCCCAGCCCTGCCCCTGAATGCAGAAGGGGACAGGAAAGAGGAGGCTGTATACCCAGTGTCACTCGGCCATGCCCCAAGCCTCCCCCAAGGAGGGACGTGGTGCACCCCAGGGCATGACTTGGATGGTGACTTGGGGACAAGGGAGGACTGACCAGGCAGGCAGGGGCTTGGAGCCTGGAAGTCACGCCTCCCAGGGAATTCTGGGCTTGCTTTGCCAGTGCACTGAAGGGAGGGTCACAAATGAGAGTGAAAATTAAATACCTAAAGGATCTGTGTGTGTTTCTATTTACAGAGCACACCCAGTGGCCTGCTAGGGTGGTCCCAGCAGTGATGTCTGGTGCTCTGTTCTAGAATGGACAGTGTGGGAGACAGACAATGGCCTTGTCCCCAGGAGCTCACACCAGCAGGTCACAGCCCGGAGCAGAGGCAGCAAGTCAGATCCTGAGGGCTAGGAGGAAACCAGGCAGCACGGTGGGATGGAGGGAAGGAGCCCTTTACGGTCAGGGAGCCACACTGAGCAGGGAACTGGATGGCTGGGTGGATGAAGCAGTGGGGGTTGGGCTTCAGCCCTTTAAACACTGGGACAGGAGATGGGTCTGAAGTGTGAAGGGGCTGGGTATGGTGGCACACGCCTGTAATCTCGCCGTTCTGGGAGACTGAGGCAGGAGGATCACAAGCTGAACCCAGCCTGGGTAATTTAGTGAGAACTTACCTCAGAAAAAAAAAAATTTTTTTTCTTTGAAGAGGGCTGGGATGTAGTTCAGTGCAAAGGCATTGTGTTCAATCCCCAGTACCACCCCAAAATGTAGGAAAGAAAGAAGGAAGGAAGAAAGGAAAAGGAGAGGAGAAAAATGTATGCAGGGAGGGTTTTAGGGCAAGATGTGGTTCTGTGGTTATAAGGACAGGGGTGCAGGGGAGACCCTCTGTGTCACAGGCACCCAAAGGCAAGATCTTTTTGCCGCATCTGTGTATCTGCAACCCTCCCACAGGACCAGGACCATCCCCAGAGCAGGCTTCAGTCTTGTGAAAATGTACAGTGAGGTCATAGGACCCTACTGGTTCCAATATTGGGTCCAGGGCATAAATCAGCAGTTTGTAGATGCCACGCCCACAGAGTGGACTGAGGAAATCCCTACTGCAATCCTGCGGTCCAAGCCTCTGTGTCCCTGCAAAGGGCCTACGAAGTCTTCTAAGGAGATGAGGAGGGCGGGGATGAAAAGAGCCTATCAGGGTGACGCTCCACAGATCCCAGCTCCTGATTGGCTGGCCCGCAGCTCAGCCCACCCACTAGGGGAAGTGCAGGCTGCATGGCTGTTGGAGCACCCCCACCCCCACCACTGGCTGCAATGTCGGGTGCCCAGGGTGCCGGATTTTCCCCTCGCTGGAGCAGGAGCCCCTCTGGGTCTCATCTGGGGCTGAGCAACGTGGTTTTGGGAGTCAAAGCTGCTGCATAACACACAGCTCCCAGTGCAAGGTAAAAGTGCTGGCCTTCGTTCAGAACTGATAAAGGCAGAAGGGACATCAGAGACTAAACCACCCGCAGACCCTTCTGAGCATGGCGTGCTTTGCACCTGACCCAGGGCGCCACCCTGACTCCTCTGAGTCCAGCACAACTCAGCCCACTCGGGGCCACTAGGGACCCCAACATACCCCAATACATGTTGCTGGGCACAGCTGGCCCTTGTCTGCCCCCAGAACTCTCAGTCTTCCAGCGCCCTGCGGGAAGGAAGGGGTCCAGATGCCCTGCCCCTCCCTCTCAAAGAAAGGGAAACTGAGGCTTAGAGGCCAGAAAGAAGAAGTGGTGGGTGCAAGATCCATCAGCAAATGGGACCCCTAACCCAGAAACAACAGGTAGAAGCAGGACAGGATCTCAGCCAGCATCCAGAGACTTGGGGACACAGGTGGTGACAAAACACTCCCGGTGACTGTGGCCTTCAGCAGACCCTCCCTTACCAATTCTGCACCTGCCTCCCTGCCCAGGTTTAGAGCCAGCCCTGCCATGGCACTGAGAGGAGCCTGGTAAAGGGTGACCGGCATCTCTGCTCGTCTGCCCTATAAGCACAGGGGGGGGGGCTCTGCAGCCCGGGGCCAGCTGAGCAGAAATGGGCTCTCCAGGCCCCACCCAGCTTCCCTGCCCACCTCCTGGCTAAGCCCAGTGCCGCAGCAGGGCCATCAGCAGAGGGCACTGTGCCCAGCCATAGGGGCCCAA